CAATTTGCAAACCTAAATGTGCTGTTATAACATCTTTTGTACAAAAAATCTATTTTATATATTTTACAAAAGAATCTTTTGATGTCTCAAAAATGTTTGATTATTATTTATGCAATTCATATAAAATTAAGTATTACTAAGACATCGACATCTTATGAACAGTGAAGTCAAAGTCAACGTTTTAAACGAACCATTTATTTGTGTAGTGAAAGTACACGTGTGTTTTAGTTTGCTTGATAATCGGGAGGCCCACTCATTTAATTTATAAATAGCAATACATTAAACTTTTTTATATAAATGTCTATAATTTGATTGTCTAGAAGTGATAATTGAATGTTTCGGACATAAATTTTTTTAAATTAAAATTTTTATCACCAATTAATGTCTGTTGTGTCTGAGTGTGTATCCAGTGGTATTGCTATTGCTGATATACTGGTGATGTTGGGCACCCCCGGAAAAATAACTTTTTTGTTACTACCAACTCAATCATGTGCAGAAAGTGTGTTATTTTAATATTGACTGATATTCTTAATAAGGGCTATATTTAAGAAATTATCGCATTATTATTATTATTATTATTATTATTATTAATATTAATATTTAATTACCGGGGCATCCAAGTCTTAGATCAATACATGATTTATGTGTATTAAAACATTATTATATAATGTGTTTTGCTAGAATATATTAAATATGTTACATATGTGGTAAGTTAACAAAAATAGTTAATTGTTTTGTAAATTTATAATTTCTATTTAATTATATTATAAGATAGATATAATAATTTTATTTATCATTTTAAAAATAAAATGACTTTTGGTAAGTAAAACAAGAATTTTAATAATTAGAATAATTCCATAAAGCTTATTCCATATACCTTGGTAATAATTTAATAATTATTATATAATAGTCATGATGTATAGACCTTATCACCGGTACTTGGACCGATGTGCGGTCACATATAGTATAATTTTTATTGAGTAGTGAGAAATTAATTTAATAATAAAGTTTATAGAAATGTAAATTACTATTCTATTAAGAGACTACATGAAATAAAATCTCCAAATACTATGCATTCAGACAAACAGTGAATAATACGAAATGAAAAGTCTATAGGACACGTGAGCCAAACTCTGCAGATAGTTATATTAGTCACGATTTCAGATATTTTTTCACAGATTGTAATGTTTATGTCAGTTCAGTATACTCCCAAGTTAGATTATAGATTAATATAAAATTTCATTATATTTAATAAATAAATCTCGCGCAGCCAATAGTATTAATACACTGGTGTTATGAACTGGACAGGATAGTATTTGAATTCATATGGGATAATCGGTCAATCAAAATGTTTATTTTTAATAAGAAAAGATACACAGAGAAAACCTTAAATAGCATGCATATTAATTTTATTATAGCACAAAATAATTTATCTTAAAATTAATATTAAATATTTTACAAATATTTATTTGATAAATGATAAATATCAGCATAAAATCATCCAATATTGACCCTGCGCACACCTTAATTGCAATCATTATTTATCTGAATTATAAGATTATTCTGTTTCTTACGGTACACCTAATGTCAATACCTAATGGCATTACAGTCATATCAAATTAGTCTCTCATTTTGACAATTCTATAAATACTGTGTATAATATCAGTCAGTCCTGTAAAGTGACAGTAAAAGAGATTCATTGAAAGTTTTGTTACATCTATATATTCAATACTGTGCTGTACTGTAGTTCTGTATCGATATATTCATTTTATACAGTATAGACTCAAACGTGTAAATTGTAAACACTTATCAACTAATGAAGATATGTTTGAGAAATTAATGATATATTCCAAGGCTGTGATCAGAATATATTATAATTCTCGGATGAAAAATTAAATCATTGCTTAAGAACCGTTTTTTGGAGAAAAAGTTTTGCAACAAAAAAACTTATGTCAAAATCACTTTAGTTTATTTGTAATGTTTTGTCTGTCTGAAACCATCAAATTATCAATTTATAATGACAATCTTTGCCATCAATTGATTGAATATGTAATGAATATCTTAATAACTCATCGAATATAATAAAACACAAATTTTAATATTTTAATATTTAATTTTAAATACTCACTTAAACTCATTATAAATATATTAACTTTTAATATGGAAATGAGTTTTAGTCCAAGTGTTACAATCTGTGAGCCGAGTGCACACAAAAGCGGCTCAAATGGTGTGCCCAACGGCACAATCCGCCACCGCATGAGACGAGTGAACAGTATAACCGTCGCCAACGCCTATCGGGAACAGAAGATTCAAAGGGATCTCCAACCTGACAGACCGTATGATCAGTATATTTATTAGTTATATGAAGCAATATAATATAAATAATACTTTTGTAAAATCTTTATTAAATAGTAATAGCATCCGCATCTTGCGACTACTCAAATATACTGTACACCACATCATAATTACTTTTGCTTATATTATAATCTGCATATAATTTGTACCTACATATTATGTGGATTAGTTATTACTAAAGGGTTAAAACTTATTTATAAAAAATATATGCAAACTATGCTATCACGTATTTAATAAAGATTTTACAAAAATATTACCGGTATTCATATTATATTGTCTCACATACAGTATTTATAGTATATATTTAATAATCATATTAAGACATTTATTTTATAATAAGTTAGAGTAGTAAATAAGCTAATAGTGTATTGATAAAGTATTCATTATTCAATAATTTTATAATTAAATCATATACATGCTAATTTTTTTTATTAAATAAGTATTAATTATTTTATTTTTCAAATAGGTTACATTTCTGTCGAGATTCATTATTCAGTTCATCAAGCAATTTTCAAAACTACAGGGGATTTCTGAATTTAGCTCTAATTATGCTGGTAATTCATTATTGCAATTAACTTTACAAAGCTTAAAAATCCTATTTTTATTTAGAATATATTTTTATTAAAAACTAACAATCATTGCTGTAACACTAAAATGTATGCAGGCAAAATATCAAATCTTATAAGCATTCAAACAATTTTACTACATATTTGTACTCAATATTTAAGAAAAATTATGTCATGAATACCGGGTGAGGCATAAAACGATAGCACTATCGATTCAATACGTTATAAGTTATATAAGTAACAAATAAAAGGTCTTTGAAAATATATTTTGAAACATATTGTAATTGATTGTTTTTTATATGAAAAATTTACCCAAATTTTTTTAATAATATTATTATGTTTATTGGATTTTCTGATTTACATTATTACTAATGTTTCAAAACATAATTTTCAAAGTAAAACATAATGTTATACAGTAAACCTTTGTTCCGATATTTAAATAGTACTTGCTTACAGAATGACAATATGAATGAAATCTACTTAATACAGTATACGGTACTGTAGTATATTTGTAAAATAAAATCTGTATGAATTATATGAAAGAAATCACTAAACTCTGCTTTCATATTAGTGTTACAATGGTATACAATATTACACAATCATATGAAAGTAAAGTAGAGATGCATCTTTAGTATAATCCATAGATATATTAAATTGACTAAACTGTAGTTAAAAAGAAAAAACAAATTTGACAAATATTTTGATTTGAGTTTTAAAATAATTCATATAACGTGTAACATACAAAGTACAATACCTACTACTGTTGTTCATTCACGTAGCACTCAGACTGTTTTTATGATAATCTTAATTGACCTTCAAGTTTTTCATTTAAAAAATGTTATTTTCATGAATATTACAAAATATAACCAAATTTTCAAAAACAAAGTTTACTTTATAAAAATGTTATACGGATTTTTAAATTAGGTGATGTTTTAATGATTAAAACATATAGCTGGCAAATTTACATAATTTTCAAGCTTGTTCCTAAACATAAGTTTTAATTATTATTATTGAAACTATCATTAGTACATTATGGGAAAATTTTAATTAATTGTTTATTTAATTTTAATTATATACATTTACTATTTTCTAACAGACATAAGTTATGTCACATAACTATATAAAATAACTTAAATCATAGACAAAATATAATTTATAGCATTTTAAATTATTTTAGTTTATTTGTAATCACGAAATCATAACTTTTAGATACTGTATTATTTTTTGGCTTTAATTCAGAAAACTTTGTACTGTTCAATTTAAAAATTAACGTTTCTATTGCTGCTAACCTTACTGACGAATATTTATATTAGCATTAAATTAATCTTGTAATTTTATATTTTGTATTATAATAAAAATAATAACATTATTTTTACTATTAATTAAATATAAGTCAGAATAAATAATTGCCGGTATTACAAAAATTAAATTTACTTTTTTCATTAAAAGTTTTCTTAATAATAAGTTTATAAATTACTAAAATAAGCAGACTATTAATAAATGTACTTTTAAACAACAAAATAAAAATATACTGTATATAAGTAGACTATCAAATGATTTTATTAATTTCAGACATAAACAACTTTTTTATAATGTGTACGCAAACCAATTTCTGGTCAAATATTTATTTTTATTTAACATGTAATAAGTAAAACGCGACCCCTATTTAATACTACTGTATTGATAATATTATGACCTTTATGTTACATAAATGTTAAATTATTCATATACAGAGTTTTATCTATTTTATTGTTTTCATAAATAACATGAATATGCAACATAAATATGATATATTAATTAATGTATTATTTGAATTGAGTTCTGTATATTTGTCATATGCATAGGCATTATGTACGGGACGGGTGGCTCTGGAGAATGTAATCAAATATGGGATTCTTGTGGATCCCATGCAAATCATTCGCCTATTCTTCGGCACAACCAGTATATGGCCCACACTTTTCACATTATTCGCAGTCAATATATTTATATTATACTCATTTCATATTGAAAAACAATTGACCAAGGTACGAGCATTGTTTTAATAATTTATTCAATATTCATAATTAATATTAGTATAAGATTTTTAATGATATTTCCAATAATTTTATCATTAGTATTTTTAAATCACAAGATAATATTTATATATATCTTATCATTAAATGTAAAGATATTTGAAATAATAATTTAATTAAAGAGTGATGAGTTATTTTTAATATGATATACACTGGCGTGTAGCCAGGTTCATGGCCACTATTCCAGATATGTAGTACTGAATTATATAATAATTATTAAATTGTTACCAAGGTATATGGAATAAGCTTTATGGAATTATTCTAATTATTAAAATTAATAAATTCTTGTTTTACTTACCAAAAGTCATTTTATTTTTAAAATGATAAATAAATTTATAATATAAAATTTATTATATCTATCTTATAATATAATTAAATAGAAATTATAAATTTACAAAACAATTAACTATTTTTGTTATCTTACCACATATGTAACATATTTAATATATTCTAAACAAAACACATTATATAATAATGTTTTAATTCACATAAATCCCGTATTGATCTAAGACTTGGATGCCCCGGTAATTAAATATTATTAATGCGATAATTTCTTAAATATAGCCATTATTAAGAATATCAGTCAATATTAAAATAACACACATTCTGCACATGATTGAGTTGGTAGTAACAAAAAAGTTATTTTTCCGGGGGTGCCCAACATCACCAGTATATCAGCAATAGCAATACCACTGTATACACACTCAGACACAACAGACATTAATTGGTGATAAAATTTTAATTTAAAAAATTTATGTCCGAAACATTCAATTATCACTTCTAGACAATCAAATTATAGACATTTATAAAAAAAAAAGTTTAATGTATTGCTATTTATAAATTAAATGAGTGGGCCTCTAGATTATCAAGCAAACCAAAACACACGTGTACTTTCACTACACAAATAAATGGTTCGTTTAAAACGTTGACTTTGACTTCACTGTTCATAAGATGTCGATGTCTTAGTAATACTTCATTTTATATGAATTGCATAAATAATAATCAAACATTTTTGAGACATCAAAAGATTCTTTTGTAAAATATATAAAATAGATTTTTTGTACAAAAGATGTTATAACAGCACATTTAGGTTTGCAAATTG